CACAAATAATAAAGAATTGAATTGAAAAAATTGTCCCTCATGCTAGGCCTACCGCTACAAATTTGTAATCTGTTAACTCTCGTTTTTGAAAAAGTTCGTATCACAGTGTGGAAAGGATTAAAATATATAATAAATTGTAACAGATTTTATTCCACTTCCAAATGAGGAATCACATCCACCTAAAATGTATTCATAACGTAATGTGTCTGAAATGTAAGCTATAATGAAATTTCAGGTAACGAAAATCTTGTCTAAACATTACTGATCTGCTCCATCAACAGAATTACGTTACGAAATTTTAGGGATAACTACTGCCACAAGATCTTAGCACAAGACTGGTAACATGAAGAAATAAAGACATTAATTTTTATCTGAGACTACAACACGAAAAGAGAATGAATGCAAATTCCCAGATAGGCATTTTGAAAATACGTGTAGGTTGCTCCATATTACACATTCGCAGGTTCATTTACGGCAGGTGAGCTTGTGAGAGTTTCTAATTAAGAATTACGTTAAACATAATACTTTATTTTTACAATATTTAGAGCTGTTTGGTGAAACACGTATAATTTTATATTTCTGAGCGGAGATATCTGTCAGCAAAGTGACTAATTACGTATTGGACAACTGAGGTTTTATTCTCGGCAAAGACAAACTCTTATTTCCGTCACCGCGTTTAACCGGCTTTTTGGTCCACCCAGCCTCACTCACCTCTATCTAGTGCAGAAGTTAAAAATTAGCATCTTCACCTTCATTCATATTTATCTTTATGGCATTGTCCTTGGCCACGTTCTTTTTTATTTGTAACTCGTTACAGAGCAGAAACTCGTAATGATTTTGCTCCAAAACAATTTGCAGGCTTAGTACTGAAACAATACGCAAACTACTCTCTGGAGGCTGCACAATGATTGTACATTACTGCCAGTTTGCTAGTTTATAATATAAAATCATTATTCTGCAGGGAAAATCTCAGAGTATCCTAAAATATAACATTAATCCACACAGTTGGTATTCACTTTAAAACGTACAACAGCTGTATTTCTCCAAACGACCGAGTTTACTACAAGGACATTCTGGATTGCCTGGTTTTTGGACTTTGCCCATCGTCTGGTATTCTGTTCCGAAAAATGGATCTGTCTTCGTTCTCGGAGGAAGGAAAGAGGGCACCTACTCAGTTGGGCCCGTTTGAAAGAGCTAACCTCAAATCATCACTAGACTGAGTGACTCGCTGAGCACATCATCAGCTTCTCAAGAAGAACTCTGTTCCATGAAATTGATTGTGTTTTATTTAACGACGCCGTAAATAAGTAGTTGAGACTTGCGTTGTACCCCACTTGATGGTACCTGCGCCTTGTCGTGGTGGTGGGGCTTGAGTACCTCAGTGACCCCAAGAGCTACTGGCAGGGCCTCCCTAGCCAGATTGGTCGAGGGGGAGAGGTCAGACTAAGACAGGTACCCTGGTCCTCCAGGTTGCGGGGTTGGTCGCAAGGCTAACAACCTTGCACTGTAAAAAGGAAGATGTTTCGAAACCTAAATCAAAGCCCTGGACAGACGGATCTAACAGAGGACCGAATGGAAGAGGAGAATTGAGGAGGCCATGGACCGAATACGGACCGGAGAGCCATAGAAGAAGAAGAAGACTTGCGTTGTACATATCACACTGTTGAAAATATTTGAGAATTTTCTTCCTTTCTTTGAATTAACATCGTTAACCCGCTGTTAAAAATTACGCCCTGTTTATCGAGTGTATAATTTGAACAATTCACAAAAAAAAAGAGGAATAAATGTAAATGAAATTTAACTTAGACTTCTCTTAAGAGTTTGATATATATTGGTGTGTGTAGGAAGCAGCAAAGAGAAAGCAGACTTGGAAGACATCTTTCTACAGTTCAGTCCCACACACCAGAAAGTTTCCCTTGTCCTTCTGTGTGGCGACATATAATAGAGTTAACTGAAAGTTTGATGATCATGTTACATGCACTGTACATCCTTCGCAACCCGAGGCAGGAAGTTTCAAGATCGTCACCTTTCAGTCTGTAGCGACAGAAGTCTTGAAGTCGTATCCAGTCTGTCGTAGTGTTAAGAAAAGACAAGCTTGTACAAAGATTTCTTCTTGGATACTGTGCCGTGTAATCTGTTAGGTGTTTACTACCTCTGAACGTTGGTCAGTTTCTACCAGACTACACGGCGCAAGTCCCCAGTGTCATAAAAGCTTGTCCCTTCTTTACACTGCCATACTTTCTGGGCGCTTCAAACTGAACAGTATTAATTTTATTGTTACACAGTATTACATAATTCAACTGTGATCTAACTGAAAGCTAAAATTTGCCTTTGTTTAATCGAAAGACCCCGTAACGTGTTTCTTACGCAAAAATCTCGAAAACAATTATCTTTTTTAAAGTAAAGTTCAAGCAACGCTAAACGCATTCTTAACCTCGGAATTAGAGACGACTGATCAGATTCATGCACCAGCCGCTCTGTTGCTGCAAACAGCTGTACCATCAGGTACATTGTGCTGCCATCTTCCCACTGAAGAGTATTACCTACTACGGCCGGTGCCGGTAGCTTAGCTTAATAAGACACGTCACTATTCAGTCACATCCCCATCCCTAACTTACTCGTCGAAAACGCCGTTTTCAAGATATTTAATGTCCTCAGTGCTGGTACCTTACAAAAATAAGGTCGAAAGTTTGTATTGAAAGGGTGACGCAAATATATCGCCTTGGAACGACGTTCAAAATAAACAGGCAACCATGAATTTCAGCGTTGTTCAGTTAAGGGTGTTCAATTCCTCTAGCACAGTGGTATTAAACCTAGGGTACGCGTACCCCCGGGGGTAAGCGAAGACATCTTAGGGGTATGTGAAATTTAAAAAAAATATTATTTTATGATAAACACTGAATAATGAGTAATGTAATTTATTTAATTTATCTTAGATGTAGATTATATACTATGTATAACTTGAATTATACACCAACAACTTTGGGGGTACAAAGTTGAAGAGAAATTATATCTGGGGGTACGCGAACGAGAAATGTTGAATACCACTGCTCTAGCACACACAAAAATACTTACAACTAATCCATATTCTGCCGGTAACAGCTAAAATGTCAACAAAAAGCTAAATTCGCACAATATACTCAGGAATCCTGTTTTGGACACCTGGCTGGGGGGGGGGGGGATTCAACTTATAAACTAATACATAAATTACCACATTCACATGGTTACATACTTGACCTCAGCTTAAACCCTGCTTCTTGGCAGCTATCGCGTCAAATCCAGTAGCCTCCACCAAGACCAGACTGGGACCTGACATGACAAGACCATGTCGATACAATGGCGTACTTGATTTACTGCAAGTACCCCCTCTACCACAAAGAGTTCAGCCGACACTATTAGTTCTTGACATACCTGTAGACTGCGTGTAGCTCCTCTCGCTGTGTCCCCAGGTTCGAAGTCCTACATCGTCGACGAACAACGGAAACATTGGCTTGCAAAAGTTTTCACAAACACTTTTAGAGTCATTGTCGCTGTATATGTTCATTCTTTAAGAGTACAAAGAGTTACTGGTCAACGCACACTTCAAAGTTTAAACTCTGCTCGTAAAGAAATACGTGTATCACGAAAACAAACCGGTCAGCAGCAAGACACAACCATATTGTTTTACTATAATATAGACCTAGCTTGTGTCCAAAGAGTTTTTACACAGACTAAATTCAGTGCAATAGCACTCTTCGTGGTGTAGTACTTTGTGTTGAAAGAGATGTAAAAGCGATCATGAACGTTGGTCTAGAAGAAGTATAGAATCACACGAAGATACTACAATCTGGTAACTCCCTAACAAGCCACGGTGGTCTAGCGGTTAGAGAGCTGGCCTTGTAATCCTGGGGTCTCGGGTTCGATTCCCGGCGGTGCCCGAATTTATAACTTGTGTTGGGCAAGGCCGTGGTCTAGGCAACACGGAGTTTTCCTTCGGGGGCTTCCCCGGTTTCTCCGTGGCATCCCAACAATTACTCCATTCACACACAGAAGAAGGCAATGGCAAACCACTTCTGGATCATCTGCCAAGAACGTATATGAACAGGTCCCAGTCCGAGAAAAGGATGCAAGGATCCTGTTCATACGGACCTGTCGTCAGACAGAACACTAAATAAATATAGTATCGATCCTTCCGAAATCCTGAGACCATTCGGGATTACTGACAATGCATTATTAAGCAGTTGTGAGTGTTAAAATCTCGACTAAATTTTATTTTCAGAAAGCTTGTCGAAGAAAACGTCTGAGAACGTCTTGCTGGGAAGTCACGACCAATAACATTTCGATTATATTTTTTTTAGGGAACTATTGTTGTAGAAAACTGTGAGGTAACTCAAGGGAAGCTGAACGCTTTATTGGGAAAGTCTCTTCCATTTATGTTGTAGCAGAATATTATTTTGGAGGCTTTATTACTTTTATTGAACACAGTCCTTTATTAATTTTTTATTCGCATGCTTCCCACATAATTCAAACATTTAGAATTCTCCACACGGCTTTAAAAATATGTTTTGTCCACCCCCTGCGGACAGGTACGACGCTGTAGACAACAAAGAAATACCGATAAGTAAACACTGTCGTCGAAAGTTAAACTTACCAGAATAAACAAATTAATGAACTTGTACATTCAATCAGTTTTTAACCTAAGATTAATATATTCAGAAGCATACTAAAAAAATATATAAAAAACTGTATATGACGTGTGGTTGCCAATGGGTATATAAAAATGCACAAATCATATGAGATTAGTATTTGCCGGCCATGCATAGAAAGCAGAAGAAACCTACAACCATAAGACAAGGCTTGCTTGTTTGTTTGTTAGTAAACATGTAAATAGATCAGTGGTTTGTTTCATTTATATGTACGAGTTGCCAACACAATTATATAACCCCAGACTAACGTAACTGTTAATTTCTTCTTCTCTGGCGCTAGTATCAGAAGAAACTTCCCCCCACTCTGTTTAAAACTCTAATACTTTAACCTTGTATATTTTAGGGAATTCAGAAGATCCGCCCTGACCCCTATTCTAAGCCAGCTGAATCCAGTCCATGCCCTCGTCCTATTTATTTATGACTTTGCTATAATCATCCTTTGAGTTCATGCACGCAAAAAGAAAATGGCCCTAAAAGTGGTGAGCTGGATTGGATGTTCTAAGCAAAATCCCTAAAACCCAAAAGTAATGCACCAAGTCTCCCACCTGGATTCGAAGCGGGCAATTCCCTGATGGAAGACAGCAACAAACATGAACGATACGGAATTTAATTACTGCGATAAATTATTTGCTTTTAATATCGGCGACAGATATTTACCACGGCATATTTAATTTATGTTATTCTTTTCTGAACTCGTACTGCAACCCAGTATATAAATTTTCGTAACTGTACACTCTAACAATTTACACACGCAGAAGCCTACTAGGTGTAATGAAGTTTAAAAACAATTCATAAAAACAGTTGATAAAATATCCGTACCCTTGTCTTGGAAGAGCTTTTAATAGTAACATTTGGAAAAAAAATGGCTAAAACGTTTACAAGGAAAGTTTCATGCTAATTTATAACGACGACATACAAACTGCAATGATAATATTTAGAAAACAAATTACTATGAACCTTACAACAAACGTTAGCTATTAATTCTTGGTCTTATAATTTCAGATTAGATTCAATTCATTTTAGATTACACAATATGGTTAAGTAAAACGTCTGCTAACTTATGCAATGAATGTTTCGTATCCATCTGCACTGGCCAACTTTTGTCAAAAAGGCTATGAACTTCCCAGACAAGTTAATGCTGGCACCGTTAAATTTATACATGCCGAAAATTCTAACTGGACAATTTCCGACTCAAGATACCCACTCTTAAAATAAAGTGTGGTAAATTTTAGCAAATTACAATGCCTATATAGTTGTTAACGTAGGAAAAAAAATCTTCAAGTACGAAATTTTACATACGTTCAACGTGCGAAATGATGCAAGTGGTCCCTAAATAATCTTGAAACAGGTACGTTTAATTTCACTTAAGTAATAAGAAATCACCAACACTTGTAAATAACTATAAAAGTAACTTAAAGATGTTACACACTAGCTATCACACTTAAATAAACACGGTAAAACACAACGCTCCACGTTGACAGGTTAACTTGCACTAAAATTGCAACTTCCTGATTGAAGTGGACAACAGAATTATGAGCAGTCTTCAGTCCCGCCTAAAGATGTCAGTCATGTCGGTACATGATTACCAATGTCGGCTCTTGAAAAGTATTTCGCGTAAAGTACAAACTGTTCGAAATTTAGTTATTACACTGAGGCCCGTGTAACTTCCTGGCTGGTTGATTATTAAGTCAGGCTTTGGGGAGAATGAACTGAGATGTGTTTTCGTAATTGTTTACAAACATTCGATTCTGCTTTCATTCTTCTCTCTGAGCGCTCTGTGCTTGACACGCTGAGTTTACTTGTGGAAAGGATAGTAAGTATTGAGAAATGATAAACTTACACAGTATACGAGCGTCAATATAGCTGTGTTTAAGAAAATATTTCAAAATAATTTGAAACAAAGCATCAACGAAAATAGGGCCTATTTCAACTTCACTTATTCTACGAAAACGATACCTTCGTTCAATAAAGTTCCTTTTCGTTTCCACAAGAACCTTCTATTTTGACTTAAGAAAAGTGAAGCAACAGAGGATGGAAGAAAATCACATTAAGAATACCTTCAGAGTTCACACTTTTATGTTAACAGATTTTGAGAAATTCAACCAAGAAGATTTTATTTTTGCAATGTGGCGAGACTGTGATTACGTATATCTGGAACTGGGCAGCCAATGCACACTTTGTTCACCCTCCAGATGATACAAGAGCGAATATGGAACCACGGTGGAATAATTGTTGACAGGGGAAAACGAAACCTTCGGTAATACCTGTCCCGGTGTCACTTTGTCCATCACAAATCTTCATTTGACCTGCCTTGGCGCCAACCTAAGCCTTCACGATCAGAAGCCGACGACTAACGGCCTGAATAGTTTTAGACACAGGAACATTCAACTGTTCGCTGCAGCGTTATTTGTACATAGCTAATTTTATTCTGAGTTTATTTCATTATTAATGAATGGATTCGTATTATTTTGTGGTGCATATCACAGTGGTCTAATGGACAAGCCGCCACTGTTTTCCTTCTCATTTGGAAACAAGCACAGACTGGGAGATAGCAAAAACTACCGAAGAAAGAGATCACTAGGCGTAGATGGAGGATATTATTAAAACGGAATTTAATAAAACAGTGCTCTGGATGCGGTCATTAGGGCAAGGTAATGAAAATTCGTGTTTCTTAAAAAGGGGGGGGGGATATTCTTCACTGGATGAGATATCATCAGCTTCTGAAGGACCTTAATATATGAAGACAGTTCATTAACTTGTTGGTTAGTTGATTATATTGATATGTATTAACAACAAATGAACAATCGTATAAATATTCCCTCCATCATTGTTGAACGCAGGCAAATTATTTGAATATTTCGAAGCAATAATGGGAACATTACTATCTGTCGTCAAGCAGAACTCTACTACTGGTTTAAAAACATTTGTTTCGATATAACAGTTTATTAAAGGGATAAAGTACTGTAAATGTTTATATTTGTTAACTATCATTAATTTCATTCGCACAAAAATAGAGCAAAAACGTTTCGTAACTTTAAAGTTCCGAAAGAAAGTAGAGTTTCTGGTCGATCGAGTCTCATGTTATTTAAAGAGAGATATCATAAGAAAAGTTAGCACCAACTGTTACACTGCTGACCGGTAAATGTGGCAGTCTTGTCAACGTTTTAGAATAAGTGACTTCTCTGAACGTTTCGGGAAGAATAACAGCAGGACTAACAATTAAATTATCAACAAGTAACAACATTATTGTCTTCTAATCTAAGGTAAATAAATAACTATTCTTCTTGAGACAAAACTTCTATGTATTAGTACTTCTGGAATCTTCTTTGTCGCATTCTTTGTGTTTACTGTCTCAGGGCAAGACTACGGTTATCGACATGAAGATTTTCCTTGCGTTTTAGTCACACATTTTTTTAACATAATGTTTATAGAATAAAAATTTTCTTGGATATTATCCATCGTCTAGTAAATATAAAACGTAAAACGACGTTTCGGAGATGGGACTCTATCTCCGTCTTCAGGTTCCTACACAGTTGGGCCCACTAGATAGAGCTAATCCCTATCTCCGGACAAAGTAAAAAGTGAAAGTCCCGGAATAAAAAGACATAACCGGGACTTTCAATTTTTACTTTTATACGCAATCAAATGTATTACGCACCCCGATTTCAGAAATCTTACAACGTGAAAATAGTATGTCTTAAAATAAACTAACTACGATCATTTATTAACTGAGAAAATGTATTTCATTTTAATACTATTAACACAGGGCATTGTCTGTGTTGTCCGGTTTCATCATAAAATTATCTAAACACGATAAATTATTTTCATGCTTCGTTCAAATATAAATAGCTAATTAATTTTACTACTGACTTAGACCGAATATAAAGCATTATCTTCACAACAATGATGTTTAAAGGTGCTCGGTTCACGTGTCAATCCAGAACAGGCATATGCTGACCAAGGAGTTTTGTAAGTTTCTCTTAGCCTTATCAGACGAATAAATATATCACGACCACTTCCTTTCCCATTACGCAACAAACCTTAGTCTCACCGGGCAATAAACAAATTATACAACTGATACAGTGTCGGTGTAGGTCTTTAACCAGAATCTATCCTGATATCCGTCATTCAGTTTGCATTCTGTGTAATGTTATTTGTTATGACTGGCGGTCTAGGTTTCTTTAACTCACATTACAGCCACTATTTTTTTCCACACGACGGTTTCCTTTGATTACATGAACAAAGGCAAAAGGAAACTCATTCGAAAGATAAGAATCATTCAAACAATAAACAATGAGTTGGCGGCTCTGGTGGTCACCAACGTCCTCGCGATGTAACAGCGTGACCACAACACTCCTTAAATGTAAAATGTTTGGACTAACACTGTAGTAGTTAGCACTTCATATTGGGGTAGATCTGACTTCGATTCTAGGTCTTTTTCGTAGTTTTCTCCAGGTAAATTATAGAACCCTGAACACAGGCCACGGCCGCTTCCTTCTGCATACTTTTCATTCTTGAGAGTAATCCTCATATTCGACGCTGTGTAAGAAATGCAACTCTTGAAACGTAAACCTGTAATTAATCATTCATAACGCAACTTTGATGATAAATACAATAACATCTCACATGGCGTAAACACCTTCTTATACAGTAAAACCTCTCTAAGTTGGACACTTGTGGTTCCACGAAAATGTGTCCAACTTACAGAGGTGTCCAAGATAGAGGGAAAGATAAATATCGATTGTGGTCTAATGACAATATGGTCTATTTACTTACATACACTAACTGCTGTAGGCTTACTTGAATTAAGAATTAATGACAACAGTATTATTAATAATCTTTTGAAGCCTATGTATGCATTGCACATTACACCCCAGCCTCAATAACATTTTCTAAAGTTAATTCCACTAATTTTCGCTTCCCCATCGCAAAAACAAAAATTCCATTTCTGTTAACACAGTCTGAACTCAAATGCAAGCTCAGTACTGATGGAGTTAAAACTGTGTCTTCTGCGATACTGTAGTCCAGTTAAGGGTTCAGCAAAAGAATGGTTAAACACTTGCAATGCATTCCAATGCTGGGTTCAATGTCCATAAGACAATCCTCTAGAGAGGAGGCATTCATCAGTCAGAAATTCAAAATAACAAAATATGTAACTGAAAAACTTTCCCTGAAAAGCATCGAAGTTAAGTGCATGAACCTGTCCAACTTACAACAAAAAGGGGTGACCAAGTTCCAGGATAAAGGGGTGTCCAAGATATAGGGTATTGTGGACATGTAAAATTATATGATATTCGCCGGTTCCAATTAAAAGTGTCCAATATAAAGGGGTGTCCAGGATATAGGGGTGTCCAACTAGAGGGGTTTTACTGTAAATCATTACTTACAGTCACCACGTGGTAAAAGTAACTTGTCAGATGTAGTATTGTGTGCTGCTGTGTAACGAGCGATTCCTGTCTGTCCCAATAGAACAGCTGCGTGACATCATCCAGTTGCCTGCCATACGCTCATTGTCGAGGAACGGTGCAGAGTTCAGCCACAAACTCAAGGTACGGTCATAACTTCATGACACAAATCAGCTTTCAAACATTACAGTATCACATAACCTAAGTTTTGCACATCAGAGTAGAAAGAAAATAAATACGGTTATTCAATAAAAACACTGTGAAACTTTGCTCCTCTCCCTACGGAAAGAACACAAAGTGACGGTGGTGTGAACAAGTGTTGAGGAGAATATTTGGACGTTAAGAGACAGAAAGCAAGAGAAGAACATAAATAAATGTATGGCGAGGCGCATCATAATTTGTGCTCTTCACAGAAAATCATTACGTTTATCAAATCAACAAGAACTGAGGTAAGTGGGACATGTAGCACACTTACGGACATGAAAAATTGTAGTCAGAAAACCTGAATGGAAGAGACTATTTGTTAGACGCAGGCGTAGATGGGAGGATCTATTAAGGTTGATTGTCGTCTTAAGAAAGTAGGATGTAAAGGTGCAAAATGAATTCATCCAACTAATGATGGGATTCCATGGTCTTGTGAACATGGTTCTCAGCCTTCTGGTTCCACAGAAAACACGTAATGCTAAGCAGCTGACATTTTTGCAAATAACTTGCATATCTGAATTTGTTAATTTGCAAAAAAGATAAACGCATGTTTTAAGGCTTTTATTAGATGGACTAATTCCTCCTCTATATTCTCATATATAAGCGAGGGAATGAAATAAATTAGGTCTGTAGTTGCCACTGTGTCCCAGCAGGAAAGGTCAATATTCTGGGAGGTCATAGTATCGATCATTCTAAGGGAAAAAGTATATATGTACATGTGTCCTATTCCGAATGGTCATTAATTTCTTGTTCTTGTACCTGATTAAATATAAATCAGATTGAAAAACGTTTCTGATAAAATTTACAGATTTTAATGAAATTTATATGTTATATGATGTGAAGCTTTCACGGCGGCTTTCATTAATAAAGTCTTCTTGGGCTATCAGCCGTGTTAGATGGTGATTAAACGCCGACGTTTCGATGACCATCTCTGTCCTCATTTTCAAGGCTGTTGTTGACTTGTAGCCTTGAAAATGAGGACAGAGATGGTCCTTGAAACATCGGCGATTAATCAACATCTAACAAGGCTGATAACCCAAGAAGACTTTATTAATAAATATGTGTGTGTTGTCAAGTACCAGTGTATTTTTGTATGACAACATTCTCTTATTTTACAAATCTGAGCTTTATGTTACAATAAATTCTCCCAACTTTCAGTAAACGCACCCCCTATACCAAGTTATAAGCAAATCACTTACATAGTTTAAGAGATGGAACATGGGCATGATTTCCTGTTATACGTCCATTTATATATTGACCAAAAATGAAGAATAACTTTTTCTGAACAAAGAAAAATCTGGAATAAGTAACACTGTTGATGTTTGTCTTCTGGGTTGTAATGCTCTGTGGACTTGTATGCACACATTTCAAAGAAATTTAGATGGTACAACGTTAAGTTTGTTAAAATTAAATTTGTCATGATAATTATGGGGCTGCCATTATAAAGGTAGGAAACAGAAAAATATCACACATTGTTTATATGAAGCATTTCAAGAAGAAATTATTCTAATACTGTATGTTTGTGCATCTCTTAGGAACTGCAAAAATTTACTGCAACGCAACATCAGAGATTCAGCATATAGAAAATTGCACCTTTTTTGAATTTCCTTCAAACAAGCCTAGAACAATTTTTTTCCTTAAACCTTGTTGATGCTCCGATATGGCTTCAAACACTCATACAGAAGCAGAAGCAAATCAGTCAGACACTGAGTATTTGCTGCAAGAGATGACGCCATATATCAGCATACTAACACTTAAAGGATTCGGAAATATTCATCCGTCTCCTGGTGAAGTAAGTGAAAATTATACCACAAGAAATTCAGAAGTTGCTGAAAAAACAGGAAATATTTATGAGAATATAGACAAGAGACTAATTTCTCCAGATTATACTCTGAATACAATTGCAATGCTAAATGACGAACACAGAAGCAACGATATCCGGGATACTGATTTCAGATACAGTTCTGGAGAAAAACAGGCATTAACAAGAAGTGAAAATAATATTCAGATGGCCTGGAATGCTGAAATAAATACAAATGGGAAGAGAACAGGCAGTAAACAAAAAGTGTCCAATATTACTAAAGAATATCGTGCAGGTCTTAACACAGAAACTATAAATAACACTAACAAATTTCTTAATGTTTCAAAAGGATCTGCAACAGATATTTTAGAAGACCGACATAAAACAGTTCAGTCACACCCTTCTAATAGCACTGAGGCAGATGTAACAGCTGGTAAGATCACTCCGCCCAAAGACAATCTACAGTGTTTGGATTCCCCAGCAATGCAGCCTGTACCTAACTTTCCTTCTGAAGACATGTTATTGACACTATCAGCACTAAATGAAACAATTGGGCCATTTACAGAACTTAAAACTCAAATTACTTCTACTACGAGTGCAACGTCAAAACACAGTGTCGGTAAAGACTGTGATGGGACACAGATTCATGCAACAAGTTTGGCCAAGAGCATTTCCAAAAAACAAGAATCTAAATCAACAGTACCAAAAGAAATATATCACAGCATGAAAACCAAGAAATCCAATCACCAACCAACTGCGGCGATTTACTCGGGATTACTTGAGAATGACATTTCACATGCGCAGGTCAATATTGATAAATCACCAAAATGTGTGAATAGACATAAACATGTTAACAATTTCTCCTTAATTGATTCACCAGTGATTCCTAGAAGTTACCCCACAGAATCAGTACAAATGCTGCCCCCATCACCACCATCAGTAAAAGCATACAGTTTACTGGAGAAGCATTGCCCACGAGTTGTCAGGAGAAAATTGTTTTCACCCTCAAAACCCAGATACGTCAAACAGCGACTAAAGAAATATACCCCAACCTTACATCTTGAAACAAACCACAACCAAAAGAAAAGTAATGCAGAATCACGTAAAAAAAAGTATCTGTTTAAAGCGGTAGGAAAACCCACAAAGATATGTAATAAAATAAATCGCAAAACAGTAGTTATTCCAGGAAATACAGATGCTAGCATCGGTACACCATTGGGTGGCACAGTCCCTTATATCAGAAACAAGTCAGTTACCAGAACAGAATCAACTCAGGCAGCTGTATTACAAACTGCATCGGAAGAATCCGAGCTATCTGCAGAGAGTATGTATTCTGACCAAGACATAGTAAAAACATCCATGATTTTATCATCTTTGTTGACACCATCACAGAATCCTAGTGCAGGGACAATACTCACCCCAACAAATATTTCAGTATGTGGCTCATGTGTTCCTATGAAAATTCCAACGCCTCCAATGTATTCAGCAGCTTTAAGTGGTCCACTGATGACCTCAATCACCTCTGATGAAAAAAATCGCTCAGTGGCAAATAACATTGATAAATGTCTGTCACCAGACACAGCAACATCCAATTCTGTAATTCTACCTGAAGTCGCATGTTATTCATACAAAAATACCAACACTTTAAAAGTGATGACCAAAGACCGTACATACCACCGTGTTCCGAATAACACATTTGGTAACTCTCTAACAGAAACTGCTGATCTTCAAAAAACATCTCTGAAGCCCAGAAACTGCTTGTGGCCAACATCATACTCACAAAATCTTGAGACTTCTCATTCATGGACAGCAGGAGAATTTCATCAACCTAAGGGCAATGATACTGAGATGAATGCTTTGAATTCAATTCAGGCTGATGGGGCAAAATATGTAGAAAAAAGTCCCAGAAGAGTATGTTGCAGATTGAGTGGGAGAAAGCGTGTTCAAACCTATGGAATTACAGCCAACAAAGGAAGCAAGCAGAATACTAGGACTGGATATGACATGCAGAAATCTCTGTATTTTGATTGTTATACAGCAGATCCAATAAGTCACTGGCATAGCAAAAGTGGAAGAGGCTCAAGGCCTTGTAGATCAAATATAAGAAACTTCACTGAAGAGTGTAAAGGAATGAAAAGCAAAGATCCAAAATTAAAAATCAAAATGGGTGATCAGAAGAATGACGCAAAAATAAATAAGAAAAGGGCATATACTAGAAGAAATATAGGACAGGATTCAAGCAACAATAATAAGAGTCTAATGACAATGTGTTCAAATTACACAGATCAGTTCTCTTCTAAACAAAGCCCAAAAAGTTTGTCCACATGCGAAGCTCAATGCATACCGCGCCGCATCATCCAAGATAAATGTGAAAACTATTTTTCAAGCAAAAATCATCATGAATCTCGATGGTCTGGACAGCAAATATCAACCTCAGAAGAAAGCAGAAAAACCTTAATTTCTGCCAGCCCATATGAGCAAATAACCAACCACACTACATGCAATTATAAATCTACCAGTAATGGACAATATTTTCCTTCGGAGAACACCAGCTACCTCATCATTGCAGATGGCAGTAATCAGTGTAGCTCTGCTGATAACAAATCTACAGAAAATAGTGCAGCTGTCTCATCATGCAGTTTTATAAACAATAAGCAACAGATGGAGAGAGAGTACGAATATTCACCTCCCATGGTTACACAATATCAACAGAATTTTATCAACACTTCAGACAGCATTCATAATACATACACTCCATATCACCTACAAGAATCAACATCTCAAATGCAATACAACGATCAGTATTTTCCAAGTTTCAAAAACAATAACAGAGACACATGTACTGGTATGTATGAATATGCAGATATGTTGAGCGACACTTTCAGATTCAACAGAGACCAAGATCAACAAAATGAATATTCTCAAACCAGTATTATACATGATGGATATCGAAATTTGACGGATGAAACGGAGGCCAACAATTATGCTCATCAACTGGAAGAAAACAGACAGAACAATGAATATTTGCAACAAAGTGTGGACTACAACCATATTAGTGCACTTTGCAGTACTCATAATTACTGTAGAATGAATCAACCAGCACCAACACAAAGTTTTGTTGGCTATCAACTGTGTTCAGAAATTGCAAATGTAGATGATAGTCAATACTACCAACTGTCTTCAAATATTACAAATTTAGATGAGTATTATCTACCATCTTCAAGAGCTTTAAGTACCGAGGATTATCAGCAAACGATGTTTAAAAGAAATGAAAATATTCTCAATAAACAGATAATTAATAACCAAGAGCATACAAATGAAGAAATGTTTAGAGAAAAAGAAGAGTGGCAAAACCCAGATTTTTATAGTAATCATAATAACAGCGTTGTGCAAGAAACTTATTTCAATGATAAAGAAAGTATCGCATATAATTCTGCGGGGCAAACTACATCAGGTTACCCATATGACAGTAAGCAGCCACCTGTCCAATCTAATTCATTCTCAAGATGTGACGGCAAATTTCTCAGGCCTCATTCACAATTTCCAGATAATTTTAAACTGATGGGAATTTCAGAAATGTCTGTAAACTATAGGAACATGAAGCTGGATGTATCTGATGAAAAATATGCAGGGACTGAAAAAGGCAACAGAAAGGAAAGAAAGCACAGAGGAAGGAAAAAACCAGATTACGAATACAAATGTCCTATTTGTGGTAAGAATGAGCAGTACAAAGTTCTCCTAAACAGACATGTAGAACTACAGCACAAACATAACAAATGAAAATTAATTTTCATAAAACTTTAGTTTGTAACTCAGGTACTGTGTTCATTCATAACACTCACAGTAAAAATAAAGTAAAGCTGTCCCACTACATGCCATGTAGCTGCTTGGGGGGAGAGGTAGTCTCACTTACCAAGATGGGATAGAGCACATTAAATTTTAACAGTCACGTTCATAATTAAACTGTTGGTTCGCTTAGCAAAGTAAACCTCTTTTCTGGGAGAACTCGGC